TTGCTTCACACCACCCATGAATGGATCTCGAAATAGTCTGAGCGAAAGAAGGCAGAGGGAAAAAAAGAACATAGTGTATGACTCCATTTACCTAAAATACAGGACAATGAGGTCAAAGCCACTACAAATAGAGCAGAGCAATGGCTAGTGTAGGGGGCAGAGGGGAGCAGGGCAACCACATGATAAAACAAGAGAGGGAAATTTGGGGGCTGACGAACATGTTCACTGTGCTGGTCGTGGTAATTGTTTTGGAGAATACACATACATTAAAAGTATCACACGACAGGCTCTAATCATGTGAAGTGTCTTGTGTGGCGATTATACCTCAATGCAGATGTCAAAAAACAGACAGTTCTATTCACAGCCTTAAATATCAAGCCACCAAGGACAAAGCCACTCAGCTGGCCACTCATTAGAAAACCACTAACACAAGCCACACAGCAGATTCCAGAGAGACATCTAGGCCCAAGAGGGGGTGCTGGGGAGCAACGCTGTTCATACTTAGCCTATGGCTATGCCACTTGGTTGAGGCTTGTTCCCTCCTGGACAAGGGGTAACAAAGGCCACCTCCCTGAGCCCCCAATGAGCAGTAGATAGCAAGTGACCAGCACAGCCCTGGACACATCACTCATCCTCAAATCCTTCCCCTACTGGCCCCAGGCTCCTCACAGCAGTAGCTAAGGTTCAGAGCTTGGTCCCCAAGAGCACTGAGAGAAGCTAGAGGGTTCCTGGGCTGAGTGAGAAGCCAGAAGCCCAAGGGAGCACCCACACCCATGGTCTGGCTCCAGCGGTCTCTGGCTGTAGAGCTGAACCAACAGCAGCCTGCTCCCCTGGGTAAGAACACGACTCTCACAGTGTGGGTAACGGTTAGGAACCCGTGGGAAGCAGACAAGCTGGTGGAGGGACTGGAGGAAGGTAGTCATGAAACAGAGTTCTCGGCACCAGCGTCCCGTCCAAAAGACCGGGGCTGGAATGCGCAGGTAGAGCACAGGACGGGGGCTTGGGAGGGAAGAGATCAGTGCCCACTGGCATGTGAGCCAGGGCTTGACTCTATGGGCATGGAGATGTGGAGGAATGCTGTGTGTGTGTGTGGCACAGGTATACAATGCTGTGTATGTAGATGATGTGAGTGTACATGCATGGGTGTACGGTTTGTGTGTAGGTGGTATACGCACGTGTGCCCATGTATAGCTGGTATATGTGTGTGTGATGTGGAGATATGTGTATAGGTGGCATATGTGTGGTACATGTGCTGTACATGGGCCAGTGGTACATGCATACATGCTACAGGTATATGCATGTAGGTTATGTGTATCTCTTTTGCATGGTGTGTGATACTGCATTCATAAATACCATGCATGTATATGTGTGGCATATTGTATGCACATGTGGCATGTGTATATGTGTTCATAGAACATATGTGTGGACACATATGTGTGTCCAAGAAGCAAATATACATGATTACTGACTTCCAGTCAGAAAGATACCCCAGTTGGCTCCCCAATTTCATGAGCAGAGGAAACTTCTGAAAATCGGCCCTCACACCAACCTCCAACCAGGCTCCATCCCTTAGAAAGGTGCTACCCGAGCCTAACATGTGGGGAATGAAGTGTCTTCCTTTCAGTGTCCACGAACCACCCTGTGGCCTGCAGCAGGGACCGCTGAGAGGATGCTCATGAGACGACAGGCCAGGACCAAGCACTCACACGGTCAGATGTCATTTCATCTCACAGCAACCCTGGGAGGTGGGCACTTCTGACCTACAAGGCCACTGAGGCTCAAGCCCAACAGATGACGGTCAGCTAGCACTGGTTCCTCTGGGCGTGTGTGCGTGCGTGCATGTGTGTGTGTGTGTGTGCCTAAGTCCAGAAAACATGACTGGACCTCTCTCGGGTGTGTGTTACAGTGGGGCACACTCTTTCTGCCTCTGCTATTCAAAATTAGGGGGATGAGTTTAAGCTGCTTCCAAGACAAGCCTAAGATGGAAAAAACATTAATAATAAGATATCCCAAACTATCCCACCATGCCACACTTCAAGATTACTCAACACATTTCTAGAAAGAAAGACATTTAAGCATCGCTGGGCTGAGCTCACTTGTCACTTATTAATTATCTCAGCACTGGTGTCGTGTTGTCCACTTTTATACACAGAGAAAGCTGAAGCGAAGGTTGGTAACTTGCCTGAGTTAGTAAAGCTCAGAAAACCCATGAACTCCCATGCGATGGATTCCAGAACTCTGATACCGCCTTCCTGCTCAGAGATCACACTGGGAGCAAGGCTGTAAATAGTGACACCCTGGCCCCAGTCCTTCACCTGTCACTCTATCCAGGCTTCCAGGAAAGACTTGGCACCTGCAGAGAGAAGCCCAGCACCCCAGCATCTCACCATACACAGGCCCAGGAAGGTCCAGGCTGTTTAATCCGCAGATAGCTTCTTGGGGTGCAAGCTGGATACACACAGGTGCCCCGGAGCTCAGTTTAATGCACTGCCACCCGTCTTGAAGCTTCTAGGACTTTCTGCACAAGGAATTCTGCACCTCCCCTCGCACTGGGCCCTGCAAATCACGCAGCTGGTCCTGCCCATCTCTAAGGAGGCCAGCACAGGCAGTCTTTGCCAGGAAGTGCAGGCTGGCCAGCCACTCCCTGTGTTTCCAAAAATGTTAGCCACAGTCCCTGAATGGTCGGGAGTGAACCCAGACAAGTTACTTTAATCTGCAGTGGCTTCCTGCCCACATGGCCTTGATCCACTGCTCACTCACTGCTGGGACACCCCCTCCCTGGTCCCTTCCCCCTCCGTGTCCCATTGCCCAAGGGACTGAGATTCCTAGAGGACACGGATGCAGCCATTTTCATCTCCAGCTCCCCGTGGGGATCTCTCCACACTCACCGAGGGACCGTGCTAGGAGCTGATGGATAAATGAACTGCTACTACTGCCCAGATTCTTGGCCCTGTTTTACAAGGAACATCCTCAAACCAAGGACATTAGATGCGACTTACTCAGAGGGCGTAGGTGCTCCATCCTGCAGTTAAACACTACCCAGCGAGCTTTGAAATATAGGAAAGGGTGGCCCTGCTCCATCTCTGTGATTCTCATCAGCACTGTCCTCACTCCAGCTCATGGCCACCTCTGGCCTCCTCCCATCCATCCCCGAGCACACCCTACCCTCACCGGGCAGCCTTTATGACCACTGTGATCCACCTGAATTCCCTGAAACACCCAGGGTGTGGTCTGCACCCCAGTATCTACTACTACGTGGCACTTCACATTGTGTATGGCTTTTTCTGATTTATATTTCTATACCAATGAAACTTCCACCCACCTGGACTCAGGATCTAGAACAGCCCTTGACCCATGTATATGGCCAGTCCCAGTCCCCAGAAAGTTCTCCCCAAGTGATCGCTAATGGCAGTGTGAGACAGAGAGGAAAAGAGTTTCACGCCTCAGAAATAGGACTTCACACAGACCGGATGTATCCAGGCCCTTCCTCCCCTCCCCGGGGTCAGCCACCGCCAGAAGGTGTCCAGACCTTGGCCAACGCCCTGGAGCCATGTCTCAAGTGACACTCAGCAAGAGGAAAGGAATGCTCCTGTGGAAACCCACAAGATCAAGTCAGACCTTGGAATTTCCAGACAAATGCAGGGCACTGGATTCGTTTGCTTCATCTTTGCTCTGAGTGATGTCACCTCTTCCCCGCCAAGGAAGAACATCTCACGCGCAGAAGGTGTGACGGATCTTTTTCCCCAGCTCTGAGCTTCTGAGGTCTGCAGGACTTCAGACTCAAAAAGCTGAGGTTTCTTCCAGGAACCCAGCCTGCCCCAAGTCCCCAAAGTGGTGCTATAGAGAGGCCTTGTCTCTACCCCATCACCCCTGCAGGCTCTGTTCCCGTGTTGCTTCTGAAGCAGGTATCCTCAGCGCTGAGGCCAGAGGCCCACAGCCCACCTCATCTGGGACAGAGCTGCTTGCTGTCTTTGCTCATTTCTCCAGCACGTGCAGTCCTATCCGCCTGTCCACAAGCTCTGTGTGGCCTCTTTGTCTCCCCCTGTCCTGGAGCCCCTCCCCATGGAGCTCCGCCCCATCCCATTCCATTCACTTTCTGCTGGAAGCCTTGCCTGTGCCTCTTCTCCCTCCTCGACACCGTGTTCCTCCCATAAGCAAACACCAGGCAGATCCATTGCTTCCTGAATTTCTCCCTAGGCATCAGCCTCTCACTTGTTCAACAGGAGCCCTGCTGCCCAGCACAGAGCCTGGCATTTGGCAGAAATGCCCAGGCCCAGACCCTGAATGTCTCCTCTCCCCTTCTCTCTCATCCTTTCCCTCTTAAAAGAAAAGTGAAAGTCCTACCATCTTTCAGATCAAAGACTCTCTAAAACTCTCCTTTCCTATCTCCAGGTCATTATTTCCATGCGGAAGTGACACAAAACAACAAAACCCCAGCAAAACCAACCAACCAAAAACAGCCAGGCATGGTGGTGCGTGCCTGTAATCCCTAGCACTTGGGAGGCTGAAGCAGGAGATTACCACAAATTCAAGGCCAATCTGGGCTAAAGAGACCCTGTCAGAAAGAGAGAGATACACAGACAGACAGACAGACAGAGACAGAGAAGCAATGCAGGTCCTAGCAACTTCACCCCAAAAGATCTCCTTCCCTCCCCTCTCAGATCGCCTAGGGTTTCCTCTGGGAACACCACTGGCCCGAGATTCCAAGCCACCATGGAAACATCTTAATTCTTTCCTTACCTACCACGCGCCAGCCATTTGTGTGCATTGTCTCATTTAATGCTTGCAACAAGGGAGTGTCAGCACCATTTTAAGGGAACCTAGGCATGGAGAAGCCAAATGAACTGACCAAAGTCACAAGTACATATCTGTGTGGGCTGGGGTTAGAGGCAAGTGCTGACAGGTGGCCCAGAAGCTTCCAAGCCCCTCCCCAGATTGTTCAGTCTCCACACCCAGCTGACTCCACTTAGAAACTCTCCCTGTGTCAACACTGCGCTCACCTGCGTGGACTCGGGCTTGTCCTCCAGCAGGGACTGGCAATGCAGAGTCCTGTGTGCCTGGCCAGCAGCCCGCAGGGATGCCCTCAGCACTCTGAGTGGGCACAGGCCATAAGCATGGAGCAGCTTCTGCAAGGTGCTGTCCCTTCCACCCCGGCATGGCTGACCCTTTCTCCTGGGCTCTCCTGCTTCTTTGTCCCTCTTTGGCTCCAGGTTAAAACCTTCCAAGGAGCTATCTGCGTGGACAATCCTGGGTCTCCCAGCTCGCTTCCGTGATACCTCCAGTTTCCCAGCTCGAGCAGGAGATCGCCAATGGCCTCCTGACTTTTCTGGCTGCCCGTGCTCTGCCTTTTTTGATCTCCAGATGAGGGGTAAGGACCCCAGGGGACCTGGCGGCAAGTAGTTCAATTCTTGCTTGGCTTTCTTCTTCTCTCTTTTGTAGTATTTTTTCCCCAAACTGTTTTACAATTCACCCCTTCTTTCCAGAGTTCCAAGCAAAGTTCTGATGTTCTCATGCCTAGCTACACTTTGAACTCTCAGCATTTTGAAAAAGTACATATGCCCGGACCCCAGCCCAAACCAGTTAAGTCATGTGGGCATGGAGCAAGCCAGGAGAGTGAGCAGTTCATCTTAGTACACCCAAGATTGTCCAAGTTTTCAGATGGAAAATTCCACCTCCCCAAACCTCTCAATCAAGGCCAAAAGCCATCACCCTCCCTGCGGCCTGTATTTATAAGGTATCTCCGGGAAATGCTAATCTAGGCAGCTGAGCAGCCTCTACCAAGTCAGTGGACCTCCCCCAGCATTTCCCGCGAGTCAGGGTTCAGCTGCCTTTAGTTCACACTTAGCTCTGACATCTCAAACTGTGCCCCTCGATCACAGCAGCAGCACCTGAGAATTTATTTTTTAAATGAAGTCATCAAGCAACTAAGGTCAACACCTACAGGCTAGAGCCACTCTCAGTGTTTCACATGGGCTCACTCAAGTCATAAGAGACACGTGAGGTGGTCATTCTGGAGCATGATACTCTAGGGTTCTCTTCTCAAAGCAAAGTCTTTCACTTTTGCAACTGTGAGTCTGCTAAGTGTGGGTCCTTGCAGATTGCTGACATGCCCTCAAGCCATGTTTCCTACGTTCTAGACCCTAAGTACTTGTTTTAGACACTTTCCTCATCACAGAGACACAATACCCTACACCCACAATTTAAAGGAGAGGTTTTTTTGGCTCACAGTTTAGAGAGGTTTCAGTCCATAATCGGTGGATGGACTCCAAGTGAGGATGGTTTGGCAAAGGGAAATGGCTGTGGAGAGCCGTGCACAACTTGGTGGACAGGAAGCATAGAGAGAAGGGAGGAACCAGGGAAGTATATATAACCTTCCAAGATCATGCCAACAGTGACCCATCTCCTCTTCCAACCATGACCCACCTCCAAATAGCAAATCAGCTACACTGCCCCTCTAGGGCCAGTCTATGATTGCATGAGGGTTTAGGAGACCATCGAGATATAAACCATAATATTCTGTCCCGGCACCAAAAGACTCACGCACATCCCCTTATGCAAAAGGCATTTAGTCCATCTCTAAGAGTTGCAAAGTCCTGACAGTTCCAGCATCACTAAAAAGACCAAGTCTAACATCTTTTCTGAAACTTCAGGCAAACTTTCAGCTGTAATATCAAAAAGATGTTAAACAGTGCTGACACACAATAGCACAGGATAAATAGTTCCATTCCAAAAGGGATAAGTGGGGGATAGAAACTAATAAAACCAAAGCAAGATGAAATCCAGCAAGGTAAACATGAAATCCTGTAGCTCTGTCCAGCGCCTGGATCAAAGATGTGAGCTCCAGAAAAGCTGACTTCTTTTTAATCATTTCAGCGACCAAACTCTCCTCTGCTCTCAATTTATTGACCCCAGCTTTACAGGAGCCTCTTTTCTGCTGAAACTCCAAACTTTAAAATCACTTCTCTGTGCCTATTCTGTTGATTCTCAACATAGATCTGGCTAAATATCCATGTCACAGCCTCAGCGTTGGGCTGTATCCAAAATTTCCTCCACCAGATAAATAAATCCAGTGCCTTTAATCTCAGTCTCCTGCCGACTCCCAGAACATGAGCAAAATGGAGACACACTTTCTGCCATTGTATGATACATGCCCTGCAGACCAAGTGCTAATGGAACCCTTGTTCACAACTGAACCCCTCGAAGCCTGGCTTCATTACTGTCACCATGGTTCTCTTCTGAGATATGACCAGAATTTCCCATCAACTTCACCTTACAGCTTTCTAGGACTTCTCTAGCTGGAATCTGCAAACATTTCCAAACTCCTTCCATGAAATCAGTTTCAAAAGCTTCTGAACCACATGGTCAGGTGGGATCACAGCAGTGACTACATTTCTGGTACCAAAGTCTGTCTTAGTCACTTTCCTTGTCGTTGACACCCAACAGCCTGTACTCACAACTCAAAGGAGGAAAGGTTTATTTTGGCTCACAGTTTGTAGAAGTTTCATTCCATTGTTGGCTGGCTCCAGAGTTCCGGGATGGCATGGCAGATGGGCATGGCAGAAGAAAGCTGCTATGGCATGGTGGACAGGAAGTGAGGAAGTGCCAGAAGAGAGATACACCTTTCTAGGTCACATCCACAGTGATCCACCTCCTCCTCCAACCAGGAGCCCATCTAACAGCACGTCAGCTGTAAGGCCTCCATAATCTCATCACGCTCCAAAGGCCTCACCTCTGATCAGATGTGCCTCTGATCATAGGCAGGACATACAGATATAAACTGTAAGTCATTGTCACTGTGACCCCTGTTTAACACCTCTAGAAGCAGAACCTGGAGAGGCTGCACAAACCAGCAAAGCCATGCTAAAACCAGGTGTCCCTTGTTCAGCAGTCCATGCCCTCCCTTGCACCAAATGGGTTGCATGTACTGACTTGAGCAAGGAGATGGCAAGGAGTTAAGACCTGAAGCCGTGGCAGAGGCTGAGGTTAGGAGGTCAGGCCCCCAACGAAGGCGTGAAGCTGATCAGAGCGGCTTGATTCTAAATCAATGCAACAGTTCACGAACCATGAGCTACGCGGCTGACTGTGACATGGTGTTGGAGATCTGTGGGACCCAGGCATAGAATGCACCTCTTCTTGCTCAGGATCAAGGACTGCAGTACATTAACGTTCGACTTGTAATATCCAGCTGAACTGAATCAGGATGGTTCTGGGGATGGAAGGCCAACGGCATAGAAAGAGAACGGGAGGGGAAGATGGTGCACCACTGATCCTCCTGGAGAAGCTTGTCACACTGGCTTTCCAGCTGCTCTCATCATGGAAGGAGCTCAGTCCTTGTTATCGCTGATGGCTACAGTTCTCTTCAGGGGAGCGCTGGTCCTTAATTTGGGCGTTGCTTCCTGGCTCCAGTGCAGATCCCTCAGACACAGACTTTTTAGCTTCCACCACTGACCTTTGGGCTTTCTCAGCACAGATCCTTGATATGGACTTGCATGAGACATTGTCGTGGGCTCTAGGCCTCTAGCTGGACTCATGCAGGACACTGCCATGGGATCCAGGCCCTCGGCTGGACCCTCTGGGTCTCTAGTGTGTGGACAGATCTCTTACAATGTGCATTTGCCTCTTTTGGTGAATATTATAAAAACAATTATATATATTATGAGTTCTGTATTAAATTATTTCCCTTGGAAACTCTAAATACAACAGGGCCAGTGGAGAAATAGATGCAAACTGCAAACAGAGGCCAAAATCACAGCCACTTCTCTGAGAAAGTAGCTGAGAATCTGTAGCTTCAGATCTCTGGCCAGTCGACCTTTTAATTCCCCACTCATGCAAAAGGACCAATTCACACACCCAGTTGCTGGCCCAAGAAGGTGTCAGTAGACACCCACCCCCATCCCTAGGTGCAGACTCCTGACCTCACCGCCCAGAGCAGGCCAGACACACCCACCCTGCAGGTGGTGGATCCAAGAGAGCGGAGGAGGAATTGGCACCCAGCACAGGGCTTCTCTGAGTCACCGGGCAGATGCCTCTTCCCTGGAGGAAGGGAGAAGCTGGATGGGCAGCTGGAATTCTTCACCTCAGTGAACAAGCCCTGAGCCACCCCAGAGATGCCGCCTCGCTCTAGAGAGGGAGCCCAGCATTCCCAGTTTCTGAAAGTGCCCAGGTGAGGCAGAGATGCTGCCAGTATCAGGCACCAAGCAGGTTCGTCTCCTGACAGAGAGAAGACAGGGGGGTCTTGGGAAGGGCTGAGTTGTTCCTGCTTCACAATCAGGGAAACAAGCGCTCAGCCAACTTGAGACTCTCCTCTTGGGCCCAGAGCTGGTAAATAAAAGCGTAAGGATGAGTAACAGCAGTCAACAAAGAAGCTACCTCCCAAGTTAAAAAGGATGGGGAAGTCTGCAGCCAACTAAATGAGTGGTTCTCAGACTTGAATGTGTATCAGAAGCCCCTGGATGGTTTTTAAAATGCAGGCCACCCGTCCCCACCCCAGAGTAAGTGACATAGAGAGAAGACCTGGGAGCTTCAAGAACAGATAAGCTTGGGCATCTCTCTAGAGACACCTGGATCTGGGCACAGCCTGGCCACCCACTGACGCTATGACCTTAGCCAGTTTGCTAAGTCTCACTGGGATCCAGCTGCTTCTGGTATCAAACTGGGATCACAGAGCCGTGGATTTAGCTCAATGGCACAGCACCTTCCTGGCAAGCATGGGCTCATGAGTTCAAGTTCCGTTACCAAAAAAGGGGGGCGGAACCCCAGAGATAATGAGTTTGCATGTGTCTTCTGGGTTGAATGAAGAACCTTGAACCATGAAAGCTGGTGCTTGGCCCATAGGAGGAATGTGGGTAAATTGCAGGAATTATTAATTTTGATATTTAGTGATGGTTTCTCTGAGAAGGTTGGGGGCCAAAATAGTAAGAGCACCAAAGGGAAAGTGAACTATGGCTTAACGGGGGATGGAGAACAGGACGAGGGTCTGGGCAGTATGGCCAGCAGGGGGACTGGGATTCTGTCACCTGGAAGTCAACTACCTTCTTTCCACCTTAGGATTTATCCCCCCACCCTTCTCACTGGTCCACCCTTCAGGCATTGCTAGAGTCGCCAGCCACCCCCACGCCTGCCCCAGGGTCTCAGGGAATCCTAGCAATCTCTCCAGTCCTAAGTGCTGGAGAAGTAAGATCAAAGGGGGACCCCTCATGAAGGTCTGTGTGGCTGTGTGACTTCCCACCACCCCCTAGAACCCTCTGCCCCAAGAGATGGCCATTCTAAGCCAGCGTCAAAATCAAAACTCCCCAAAACAAGAAAGGTACCAGTGGACTCCCCCCATCACCCAGCCACCAGCGCTCCATGCCCCCTTTGCCAAGCCAGGCCCCGCCCTCTCCATAGCTCAGTCAGGGCTTAACCCTGGAGCCTTCTCCAGTAACCTCGAGGCACTGCAAGAGGCCCTTCCTCCACAAGTTCATTCATTCATTCACTGATCCCCAAGTGGTCACTGAGCACCTGCCTGTGACCAGGCACCACTGCACACCCTGGGATTTCAACGTGCACAGCCCTTTAACCCCCTTCAGGCACAGCAGAGAGCACTGGATTTGGATTCAGGCGAGGGAGCTCACAGCAGCCCTTCTGTTCTGCAAACCCCCTTCTCTAACAGGAGCAGGACCTCAGCT